GATTACTTTTACCAGTGAGGAGAGGAGAGGAGAGAGAGAGAGGCGACTTTCTTGCCTTACGAAAAGAATTTCATTTTATTTTTTCGAAAGTATTGAAAACGTCGTCAAGTATCCTGCAGACGTGGACGAATTGCTTGACGAGAAACAAACCCCCACTCTCATGGAGGGTTCAACCCTTTCGAAGAGATAGATTCGAACCCCCTACTCGGTCTAGCTGCCTCTCTTAGTCATATCGGAGAGTTTAATCTCCTTACTCCGTACTGCTTTTTTCTTTGAAAAAAAGAAAGGGGTCGATATATAAAATAATACACTTGTTAGTATAAAAGACAATACATCAACTGGCGTATTAATTTACAGTAATATTAGCTAAATATGATTAAGATACCAACCAAATATGTGATAAAGTAATAGAAAATTCTATACCAAGATTATTTCATCTCATCCCTCAAACTAAATGAGTTTTTAGAGTATTGACAAACGATTTGATTATACACTGTTTTTAACTTGAACAATTTAAATACACAAGCATATTGTATAAAATAACTATATCTCAATTTCAAGCTGGTTGAAATATAAATTTATTGATTTTTCATCATTCTCCGATTCTAATCATCATAATAAAAGCAATGGATTTTTTCTGAACTTAAAATGAAAAAGAAGGAAAATAAAAGGGAAGAGTAAAAGAAAACGTAATACGAAAGAAAAGACCAATTGAGAACAATTAATGAAGGGGAGGGGAGGGGGAGCTAAAAAGGGGGTAGGAGTGTTGATGATAAAAATGTTTGCAATTAAAGCAGAGCTAGCTGGTGGTGGACGAGTGCCATATTTGCATTTATTGCCGCCATTACTGACGGTGACGGCCCTTTCCTTCACTCCAAATCCCATTAATTAGTATCCACATAATGCCAAATCACAACTATTATTAATATTATTTTAAAATTTCCCTTTTTATAGTACACCAGTTTTATGAATAAGGGCCTCCATCTCACTCACTCACTTGTTGCAGCCCATTAGTTTATTTATAAAAACCCTCTTTCCAGCTTAAATTTCTTCTGCCCTTTAGATTTTTCAGAGTCGTTTCCTTTTCTCTATTCTCTATTCTCCGCACGGTTTCTTAATGATGGCGGCTGAAGTTAGCTCTCTGGTTAGGATTATGAACTCAGCTGGTGGTGGTGAGTTGAATGAGTCATCGTCTTCATCATCTTCAGGGAATAAATCAACGGTGTTGATCACACGGGACTTGCTCGGGGGTTGTCGTTCTCTTGATTCGAAGGAATTGGACCTCGACTTGCAGGTTCCTTCTGGCTGGGAAAAGCGCCTCGACTTGAAGGTACCAATCATTTGCTAACTCCGATTTTACCTTCTCCTTTATTTCCCCTAAAGAAAAAAGAAACTGATGATTGTTGCGTTTGCTGTTGATTGATTTCCCCTGTTTTCTTTTGTAGAATCTGTCGTTTTGTTTAACTTGCTGCTACTTCCATGATTAATTTAAATCAGAATTTATCATTCTTATTAAATATAGTTCCACTCCGTTGGCATTAGCAGCATTTAGTATTGGAATTGATTACAGAGGGAATTTATCTTTCACCATAATGTCCATCTGATCTTAATTATCTTACCATTTTAAATTATTCTCTGTCCCAATTTCAGATTTTGAGAGTAACTTTTTTGTTTTGATGGTAATTCAAACACTGTCTTTATGTTACATGGTCGCAGCATTAAGTACTCTCACGTTAAGGACTAATTCTCTTCTGTATGTTTTGTATGTCCATTTTATTACTCTATCTATGTGAGGGAAACTGTTTTATCAGTATAAGAAAATAATTTAAAGCATTTATGCTAGCTTGGCTTGGTTTCTCTGATCTTTTAACTTGAAAGTGATGATCATCTCATTATTTTGACACAGTGAGGTGTTATCGTTGTTTTGCGCTGTAACATGATAGTAGACCATTTGATGAACATTCTAATTGTAAAGTACATTGTTCACTTGCAACAGTCAGGAAAAGTATATCTACAGAGGTGCAATTCTTCCAATTCTTCGTCGACGACCATGGAACAGAAGCAACAAAACCATCAAACAGTTGGAAAGCTTCAAGACCTTAATTTCCCTCCTGCATCAAAGCAGCCACTCAACCTCTTCGATGAACCCAACTTAGACCTTAAGCTGCTTCCTTCATCATCCACTTCACCATCATCATCTAGTTATCACAGCGTATGCACCTTGGAAAAAGTGAAATCAGCTCTGGAAAGAGCAGAGAAACAAACAACCCGGAAACGCTCAATATCAGTGTCAATGTCATCATCTCCAACTTCAAATTCCTCATCCTCAATCGTGGATACGGAGATTGATCAAGAGAACCTATGCCCTTCCCTTGCTGCTGGTTGCCCAAGTTGCCTTCTTTACGTGCTAATATCAAAGAATGATCCTAAATGCCCTCGATGCCATACTGTCGTTCCATTACCTGTGGCAATGAAGAAGCCTCGGATTGATCTTAATATATCCATATGAGAGTGAAGAACCAAGAATCATTTTGATATTTTTTGTAAAGATAAAAGGTATAATCTTGTAAGTTATAGAATGGTATATACATGTTTCATAGGATGGATGTTCCTTCTTAGTAGTGTAGAATATAAAATCACCAGATCCTCTTTGGGATTGCCTGCCTTTCCCCCTCATTTATGTTGATTAATACATGCTTGAACTTTATTCAATCTTTTGGCTATCTGCATGTACTACTAGATATTTGAGACTCCTGTTGCAGTTGCTATTGTAACTGTGGTAATTTAGACAGTCAAGTCATGAATGGAAATCTTGGCATTCTGGCCATGCAGTATCTACGTGTGATTTTTGAATTGTTCGGAAGAAAGCTTGTATAAGATATGGAAGCCTTGCCTTAGATACGCAAATGTACATAATTGTTGGTATTTTTCTGTTAAAGGAAGAGTCGGGGTAACTCATTGCAAACAGGATAGAGTATAACCACTTGAAGGGGTTTCTGTCATTAATCTACCAATCATTAATGCACAGCCAAAGAGTGGCCCTTAGTCTTAAATCGGTCAAACTTTCTTCTTTATTTGCTCAATCCAAATTCTGTAATGCAATTCATTTCGAGATTCTGAGGAAATGTAGAGCAAAACTCTTATTTTATTCTTATTTCTACACTATAGTATATTAATTTAGAAAGAACATGATATTGTATCCTCGAATGTTATAGAAAATATTAATTCAGAACGACCATGAAATTGTTCTCACAAGTCATGACAGCATCGCGAAAGAGCATAAATTGTTGTAGGGTTTAAGGCTTTAATGGTCAGTACGCAGTTGTTTAATTGAACAAAGGGAGCTGGGACTTGAATCATTATCCATTTTGCCCTCGCGCTTTCTGGAAACTATGACTATTTAAGATCGAGTATGTCAAATCAAAATAGTTTTGTAATCAATGAATACTTACAATTCCCTTTCAAACATCAAGTACAAATACCTAATTTCTTAGAATGAGCTTAAATCCTTTTCTTCAATCACATTCACTATTAATTTTTCTGGCTATATTTTAATGTGGTTGCTGGCTTGTTGCTCATGACGAATAGAGCAACTTTGGTTTTTCTCTTTTACTCCCTCCGTTCACTTTTACTTGTCCATTATTAACTTTGCACACCTCTTAAGAACTACTCCCTCCGATCCAAAATAAGTGATTTTTTGGATGTTTTCACACAGATTAAGAAATCCACCTTTTAGCATTAAGTAGCAATGGAATTGACCATATTAACCTTTAACACTCCTAACACATATTCTAACACTATTTACTCCAAGGACAATGTAGGAAAAAAATAATTAATTCATTCTTAAAATCTGGAAAAATCACTTATTTTGGACCACAAAAAAAAGGCCATAAAATCACTTATTTTGGACCGGAGAGGGTAATAAAAAAAGTGCATAATTGACCATGATATACATATTAATTGGTGTATAGTCTTAATAAATTTGAAAATTGATTTGGAATGAGTAATTAATGCTAAGAGCAAAACAGGAAAAATAAATTATTTTTCTCTTGATATGCGAAAGTGGACAAGTAAAAGTGAAAAACTATTTTTAGAATAGTGAACAAGTAAAAGTGAACGGATGGAGTAACTTTATACGCTCCTAAATGTGTAGTTTTTGTGTCTTCTTTAAATTTTGTTGGAATAAATGTGAAAAAATGTCACCAAAAAAGGAAAACTAATGAGTTGTAGCAGTAAAAGATAAATATTACTCCCTCCACTCCAGTTTATGTGAACCAATTTCTTTTTTGGTCCGTTCTGAAAAGAAAGACCCTTTTCTAAGCTAGCGTTTGGCCATAGATCCCAAATTTATTTTGAAAAATCTGATTTGGATGAAGTTTGGTTTGAAGATGAAAATGTGTTTGGACATACGATTTCAAAACATATTTTTCAACTTTATTTTGGAAAAACATGTATATAATTCTCAAGTTTTGAAAATTTGGCCCAAATTCAGCTTATTAGCTGAATTTGAGATTTCAAATATGTGATTTGAGTTTTGGCCAAAATGTGGGTCAAATTTATGGCCAAACATGGGATTTGAAAATGAATTTCAAATTAAATTTGGGAAAATGTATGGCCAAACAGGGGCAAATTTGGAAACAATTTACCTTAAATTTTCAATTCTACCCTTAATGAGAAGCTTTATAACCACAAAAATACTCTAGACCCCTTTCCACAAATTCAAAAAGTCTTATTTTTTCCTAAACTCCGTGCCTAGTCAAGCAAATTCCCATAAATTGGAATGGAGGGAGTAGTATTTTAATATTTTTTTTTATGGTTATATTTTGCTCGCTATGGTAAGGAAAATCGGGTTATATCATGTATTCTCACTTGAGTTTTTAACTACTAAAATAAGCTTAGTTGGTTTGATGTGAACACGGTGCAAATAAATGTTTACCATAGGACTGGTATGCACGCGCTATAGAATGAGTTTAGAGAGTGTCTGGTCTTGGAAACAGAGTTGGAGTGTAAAGAAAGATAAATCATTTTAACTGTGGATGAATTAATCTTAAAGTCAGATACATAAATGGAGTTGCAATTGATGTGGGAGCCTGGATATAGGAAGACTATAATAAAAGCATTCTGCTTCATAAATTAAATGGTTGAATGAAGTTTCCATCCACCTACATTTAGAGTTGATGACTTACTTCTTTGGTTCAACTTAATTGCCACATTTACTATACATTTTCAATTTTGCACCTAACTATCATTAAATACCTATCGTTTGTTACGTCTTTTAAACCTCACACACCTACCGACTACTATCTTTCTAATGATCTCTTTCTTCTTTTATCATATTTTTCACATTTTTTATTTTTTTATATTTTACTATTCCTACAAATTGCGATTACTTAAGATGGGTGGTGCATTAATTGATTTGCCAAATGAAATTTGGTCTAAGTTCTGCCATTTGCTTATCAGTCAAAATCTTTTAAATACGCCGTGAATTTCTGCATTTATTATAGAGTAAATCCTAATGAATCTCTTTGACTTTTTAGAGTTAAGAAATTACTCCTTCACTTTTCAATCGATGAAGAATCCCATGAGATAACGTTAATCGTCATGTCACCTACAAACCATTTGAATACTTACTATTGCTATTTTTCTTTCCTTCTTAAAACTTGACCAAGGAATATGTGAGAGAATCGTTAAATAACAAAAACGAAAGAACTTTTTTCACACAATTGACTAGTTGAAATAAAAAATATGGCTAATTATGCTAAATACTCCTATAATATAACTGTGGTGGAAACAGCCTCTTGCAAAAATGCAGGGTAAGGCTGCGTACATAGACTCTTGTGGTCCGGCCCTTCCCCGGACCCCGCGCAAAGCGGGAGCTTAGTGCCAGACTGCCCTTTTACTCCTATAATATAACTAAGTTTTGGATAAGACCCTTATACTTTAAAATCTTAGGTATATCTACAAATATATTAAAAGACAAGTGAAAGTATAAATAATTTTTTTAATTTATTGATTTTATGAAACTTAAAAATAGGATAAATTTTTTTGTTGAAACTTTTTTTTAAGTCTCTGATTAAAAAAGAGAATAAATATTTTTTTAAACAAGAAACTCATAAATAAAAAATTAACATAAGTTACTTAATAAGATATCGAACTATTAGTAATAACTTTACTTGCACTTTAAACATGCAAGCTAGTTTATTTGATTATATTATTTTATTATATTGAAATTTTTATTTTTATTTTAGTTAATTTTTTCTTCCGCTTCAAAATTATATTTAATTTACTTCTTTAGATGAAGTTTTATATGTGTAGTATTTTCATTACATAAGAGGTTCTTTGTAATTTTAATTTATTTCTAATAATTATATTTAATATAGTTTGTTGTAGATATACCTCACAGGGGGTGAGAGTGTAAGATTTTTATGATATAGGGGTGTACGTCTTTGATTTTAAAATACAGGGGCTGTATCTAAAATTGAGTCATATTATTGAGGTGTTTAGTGCAATTAACCCTAAAAACTATGAAACAAGTTAAGGTATTATTTCTTTCTGTCCATATTATTTGGCATGTTTTCCTTTTGTATACCCCTTATTAAATACGAGAATAATTTGAGCAAGCTATCCTTATTTATTGGTTGAACTCAATTTAATACTAGTCTTAATTTCACCGTGTTAATCTCTCTCTATATATTTTTGAATAAGGATAAATGTGAAAAGAATAATTAATTTTATATTAATTTTGTAAAATGACAAGTATTTTGAACCAATTCTTTAACGTGGCCACAATAAGTAAAATGGATCGATGGATATATTTTCCAGCCCGATAAGTTACATTTACTGCTGCTCACCTATGACACATATATTAATTGTTACAATTGTGTTTATTGTTTGGTGATGTTTCCTTTGAAGCATATTTAAAATACAATTATTAACCTGGGATAGCTGGCGAAGTGATCTCATTTTAAATTTGAATTAGCCAAAGTGACCTTCAAGTTTTAATTATTGTAGGATTGACCTTCATGCTTAATTAGTACTTAAGTGGGGTTATAAAGTAAAGGGGGAAGTTCAATCTTTATTCCTAAAGTTTTATTTATTACACTTTGGCCCCAACCTATATAATTCTAATATTACTAGATTTTTTTTAAAAAAATAAAAATTCCCATCCCTTCCCGCCTCATCTGTCGTCCCAATCCCCATTTTTCACGAATGATTCCTCCATTGCAGCTTTTTTTTTTCTCGCATTCAACACGCGTACGTCGTCTCTCTTCTTCCCCATTTCTATCAAATCTTTATTCTTTTGATTAATCATTTACGGAGAAGAAATCGGAAAATTGGCAATTTTTCGGATCTGTCGAATTTGGGGATGAAATTGGCGGTATATTGGATTGATAATTCATCTAGGTGGTATATTGTGTAACTCCTTCATCTGGTAAGTATTTTCATCTCATCTATTTTCTGCACAGTGCTCGACCACTAGTGTACAATAGATCACCGGTTCATAATAGACTGATGTGAGATTATATACTAGTATGCGATCTATATTCTGGTGAATGGATTGAGGGGCCAACTAGTTAGAATTGAAATTCCTATACAAAGGTTACAATACCTATCTGTATACCAAGAAATTGTACATTTGACTAATTTTTTGATGTGGTCATTAAAACTGGAAAACTAATATGTTTCCCGAGGCATTTGAATATTACACATATGCTTAGCTCTGCAGCGAAGAGGGACAAGATTCTTCCTTCCTTCAATAAGAATGACAATGATTTGTAATCATACCTCCTTGATGTTACAATTGATGGTATGAGACCTTGTTTGAAGATATTTGTGGATGAAAATGAGTTTGAAGAAAGGGATGAAGTTCCTTTTGAAA